TAAGTCATTTCATAAGGGGAACTTAAATTAGATCTGTTTCTACTTTCCTTCATATACAAACTTTAGAATAAGAAATATTCTGACCAGATTGACTGAATTATTGCTTATCCATTATCCATGGGTGATGATATTCGAGGCTGTGGATTACATTCCCACCCGCTCAACCATCGGCCTTGCCCACCTCGAGCCCGCGTATCAAATCCGCACCGGGGCCGTACTGAGCCACAGTAGGCTTAATCGTAGCCTCGGGCGCCACTTAACACTAGCACATATGCGGACTAGTCCGGGCTTAGGGGATGCATCCTGAAAGACATCAAGACATCAAGCGAAGTATGGTGGCCTTTGCATCACCAATTAGGCACCTCAGAATCAAAACGACCATTCCATCACTTTATTATTCCTGCTCCCCTTTTGAAGCAAAACTTTTGATCTCTTAAGCTGGGAAGTTTTAGAAGTTTGGCCCATTTTGGGCCTTGAACAGTATCAGAATGAGTTCATGTAAGTAATAAACAATGATGCCCCATACCCCTCGATTTCCAAGCTCATCATACACAGTGAAGCAATTCATTCGCAATGTGCGAGCTTCGAAAACAATCGCAGATGAGCGCGCAGTTGTACAAAAGGAAAGTGCTGCTATAAGAGCAAGTTTTCGTGAAGAGAGTGGTGATCATAATGTCAGGTAGGAAGGTCACCGCTTGTTTATTTGAACATATCTGACATATTGGATTGGCAGACGAAACAATGTAGCGAAGCTATTATACTTATTCACGTTGGGTGAGAGAACACATTTTGGCCAAATAGAATGTCTCAAACTTCTTGCGTCTCCACGATTTGCGGACAAGAGATTGGGTTATCTGGGAACAATGCTTCTACTGGACGAGAATCAGGAGGTACTGACATTGGTTACAAACTCTCTGAAGAAGTATGCGCAACTGTTAGTCTTATGGAGCCATGGAGCTGACTCGAACATAGTGACCTCAATCACTCTAATCAATATATTGTTGGATTGGCTCTATGTACCCTCGGAAATATTGCATCGGTCGAAATGTCTCGAGACTTGTTTCCTGAAATTGAAACCCTTCTTTCTACCGCTAACCCCTATATTCGTCGAAAGGCTGCGTTATGTGCCATGAGAATATGCAAAAAAGTACCAGATTTACAAGAACATTTCCTCGAAAAAGCCGCAAACCTCCTGTCGGATCGAAATCATGGTGTTTTGTTGTGCGGTCTTACACTAGTAACAAATCTCTGCGAAATGGACGAGGCAGAAGGTGGAGAAGAAGGAATCGTGGAGAAATTCAGACCATTTAGCGGTGGCTTAGTTCGAACGCTGAAGGGATTGGCTAGTTCCGGTTACGCCCCTGAGCATGATGTCACTGGAGTTACGGATCCATTCTTACAAGTTAAGATATTACAATTGTTGAGAGTTCTTGGTCGCGGAGATCCAGAAACTAGTGAACAAATCAACGATATTTTGGCCCAAGTTGCTACAAACACAGATTCTTCAAAGAACGTTGGAAATTCTATATTATACGAGGCCGTCCTCACTATTCTCGATATCGAAGCTGATTCTGGTTTGAGAGTACTTGGTGTCAACATCCTCGGAAAGTTCCTTTCAAATCGAGACAACAACATTCGATATGTTGCTTTGAATACGCTCATTAAAGTGGTCGCAATTGAGCCAAACGCAGTTCAACGACATAGAAATACCATACTTGAGTGTCTGCGAGATCCTGATATCAGTATTAGGCGGCGTGCATTGGATTTAAGTTTCACTCTCATCAATGAGAGCAATGTTAGGGTACTTATTAGGGAACTCCTTGCTTTCTTGGAAGTTGCCGACAATGAGTTCAAGCCAATCATGACCAGCCAAATTGGTATCGCAGCAGACAGATTCTCGCCGAATAAAAGATGGCATGTAGATACTATGCTAAGAGTCTTGACTTTAGCAGGAAATTACGTCAAAGAGCAAATTCTATCTTCATTCATTCGGCTTATTGCCACCACTCCTGAATTGCAAACTTATGCGGTACAGAAGCTCTATACTAGCTTGAAAAAGGACATTACTCAAGAAGGTCTTACTTTGGCCGGTGCCTGGTGTATTGGAGAATACGGAGAAACTTTACTTCGCGGTGGACAATACGAGGAAGAGGAACTTGTCCAAGAAGTTAAGGAGAACGAAGTTGTTGATTTGTTTTCAACCATTCTTAACAGCAGTTACGCCACCCAAATCGCAACCGAATATATTGTCACATCTTTGATGAAACTCAGTACACGTCTATCAGACCCTGCACAAATTGATCGGATTCGACGAATCTTGTCAAATAATTCCACAAACCTCGACATTGAGGTTCAACAGCGAGCGGTAGAGTATGGAAACTTATTCAGTTATGATTCCATCAGAAAGGGTGTATTGGAAAAGATGCCACCACCACAAATCAAGGAAGAATCTCGAGTTCTGGGAGAGGCAAGCAAGAAACCAAGTAAAGCATCCAACAGGAAGTCAAAGGTCGTCAAACCAGCAGAACAGGATCTGTTGTTTGACCTAATGGGAGACGGAGGAATGCCTGATGCAAGTGTTGGAGGTGCTAACAGCGCATCTCAAAATAACGCAGACCTTCTAGCAGACATACTTGGAGGCACCGATTCATCTCAACCTACATCACCTCCAGCTCAACAGTCAAATATGAGCTCAATTATGGACCTATTTGGCAGCACTCCATCCCAACAACCCCCATCTGCTACGGCAACTCCTTCAAACGATCTTTTCTCAAGTGTATCTTCTCCTCCACCTCAAGCTCCTACAATTCCAACTCATCCATGCTACGACAAAAATGATCTTAACATTACATTGCAACTTCAACGGAATGCAGAAGGTTTAGTACAAGTCTTAGCTCGTTTTAAGAACTCCTCCATGCATCAATCTTTCTCTGCAGTGGCATTACAAGCTGCAGTACCTAAAACACAAAAACTCCAATTACAAGCCATGTCAAGCTCGGATCTGGGACCCGGGGCAGAAGCAACACAACCAATGAGGATTACTGGAAGTAAAGGGGTAAGTTTCCTTGACAAAATGCCACAGACCATCTACTGATTGTTTTAGCCACCATTACGACTAAGGTTGAAGATTTCTTATGCACACCCAACTGCAGGACAAGTTACGGATCAGGTAGATTGGTCGGAGCCGAGGTAGTGAGGTTCTCAGTAATTGAACTGCAATTAGAAAATCTATGGAATGTTATTGTTACTCGGCGTACTGCATGAAGTAATTTGTTGGTGACGCTGCTTACCTTCGCTCAGGTATCAGCCCGCTACGGACTTTCTTAGCCAACCCTGAAAGCTCGTAACTTGAGTGACAAAGAAAGCAATGAAGACTATTTATTAAAATACATGAACTTTGACCCAACTTGTTTCGATGTACGTTTTCTGATTTAGGGTCCGGTTGATGGCGTGTTCCCGCTTCAACGGCCTGGAAAGCTCCATGGTCATTGACATCAACATGTTACTTTTTCGACTTGTAAAACAGACAATTTTGTTGTGACATTCTACCTCATGGTGACATATTGATACCTACAGACAGTACTTTGCATAGTATACCTTACCCTCTATTATGCGAATTAGGCAAGAAGGATCGATATATTTGTTAGAGAGGCCGGTTCTTAGAAGAAGCAGCAGATCAGGTACGAGCCACTCAGGTGACTGCCCAGTATCTCTTGGTGGAACCTCCCCCCTAGTCCTAATAATCGGCTCTCGTTAGTGGCCGATTAGTTCCTAGTCTGGGGAAAGCAGTCGTTCTGGGGAAGCGATTATCCTTTTGGCATTGAAATATGAATTAGTCAATCGCTCTCTCAATTAAACCACAATGTTTGTATCATCGAGCTCATATAAATATTCATTTGATGCCCTAAAATTCAATTATTCTGTTGGCTTAAATTTGAGTGCTTGTGTTGTCAAAATAAGAGAATTCTTGTAGCAATTCCCCATCAAGATAAAAAAGACACTAAAGAAGCTATAGGGATAAGTGCTTTCCTAAGAAAAATGCTTTGCCAACCAGGAACTAATCGGCCATTGTTGAGAGTCGGTTATCATATAAAGGGATCGAATTGCATAATTATGATGTTCTGGAAAAATAATCAAAGATCTCAGAAGCTGCATTGTTAATGGACTTGAGAAAACCACTTGATCTTAGCTGGGGAGATGAGAAGAATTCAAGACATAAGGGTGCTACGATCGAGGATTCGAGGAGAAAGGGAGTAAAAGTTTGGACTACTGTCGAATTTGATGTACTGAATAGCATTGTAAGCGCGTGGATGCCAGACGCTTTTGTTGAGAAGATGGAAAGTGATTGGTGGAGATATGGCATATGGAGAGTTGATACTTGGGAGACTGTTCATCCTGGTCCTTTTGCAGTAAGAGGTACAGTGTTTTTAAAGAGGAAATATGGGTAAACGCTGTTTGATTTCAAGTGACAAAAGTGACTGCACGATCTGATGGACCACTCCTCAACTTACGAAATTCTTAATTGGTTTCAGTAATCGATTGTTTGGCTTCAAAGCTGTTTAATCTCTTAGCTTGACTTGTAAAAAACCGATCTCTGAAATTGAAAAAGCATATGAACGATAATTTAAAGAATGTTGTATTGATATGAGATATTTATATAGTCTGTTATCATAGCAAAGGTTGGAGCCAACAAGACAACAATAATGATTGTTTGCTGCTTTGATGATACTCATTCAACGAAGATTGAAACAGAATCATTGGACCACCTTGCATATGAGCAAACATTCATCAAACTGCAGATTTCCGCTTCGTCTTTGCTGTTTTTCATCCAATTGCTTCTTTCCTTGACATTTACAGTGAATGACCAACGTGGTTATTCACTAAGTACCTCACCAGCGTGAGATACAAGGTTATCGCACTTTGAAAAAAATTTGTTTCTAGCTTAAATACTCTCATTGCCCACATCAGTTTGCAAACCTACAACCTTCACAATCATCAAAATGTCTTCTCCGGAAGATCTCTCAAAAAGGCTGCGAGAGGAAGGCAACGCACTACACAGCTCTCGGGACTTCGTCAAAGGTAATCTATTTATCCCTCTGACTCTAAATGTAAACGCACGAATCTAAATCTTCACACAGCGATTCGTAAATACATGCAAGCAGCTCAAGCATCCCGAGATGATCCAGCACCACTCCGATGTCTTTCTGCCACTTATTATGAGAGTGGCCAGTATGAAATGTGCCTGCTCTTTGCCAAGAAAGCTATCCAATTGATGAATAAAGCAGTCATTGGTAATGGAGATAGTGCCTTCACAACGCACATTCAGACATTGGAGAAAAGAATCAGAAAAGCCGAGGACAGCCTACCGAAATGTCCTCCTCAGAAACAGGACGAACGCAGAGTGGAGATCTTGGAGCGACTTGCACGGTATCATCCCTCAATGTAAGTGTATTAAATTTCATCTTCATCTCCATTGTCCACAAATTGGTTGAGTGGATGGATCTAATGCGTTACAGGAGATCCACTGGAGACTACGTGACTGTCGGTCATGACAATGCCAAATCCCTCTTCAACGAAAGCCTTGCGCTACAAATTCCTGCCGGCGAGACCATCTCATTCCTCAACAGCGGACTAGGCGATGCTAGACACTTCCTCGCATCGCTCATTAGTATCGCGCACGAAGAAGCCAAGGGGGAAATACCAAAACGTCGATATCACTTCACGTTGAATGATATCAACAAATATGCGCTTACGAGAGATCTCATCATATTCTCTCTTCTAGATAAGCTCTCTCGGTTGGAAGAATATCAAATCTTCCAGTCGGTGTACATCTTAAACACAATCTACTTTATCTATGCGGCATGTCTAATGCCCCCATGGGTCAGCGAACAGCTGCAAGAAGTTATTGCAGAGCTTTTAACATGTCTGAGAAATGGCCTACAGCCATTGGAATGGATTTATCTCTATGAAGCAGATATTCCATCCTACATCGAAGCGCTCGAAAATTGGGTATCTGGAGGCAAAGTAGCAAACGTATTTACCGCTCAAGAAGTAATGGAATCTACGATAAGCACGATGCAAGACTCGATATACAATAATAAGACTGCTGAATATTGGGAACACATTGGGCCTTACTGCAACAAGGAGAGAGAGCTCTATCTTGCAACTGGAGTGCTTTTGCCATTTCCGCAAGCAATGAAAAAGCATGACCCCAAATTAGTGGATTTGAGCCGCAAATCGCTGCACAACCCTAGAGGAAGAGAATCAAGGCTTTTCGTGACCCATGTTATGACGGATAACTGGGTATTCAACCAGACACTGCTTGATTGGGATGCGCATATAGATATGGGGAATCCGGAGCCAAGAGCCTTTGTGCGATTCGATCCATTTGATTTGTTCTCGAGACTGTGGGTGGAGCTGACGGAGGAACTGCCACCCAGGGAGGAGCATGCCCCTATATTTACTCATATTGGACCATTTTTCGCCGAGGCAGCAAGCGCGATCAAATCTTTGGATCAGAGATTGAAGGTAGAGATGGTAAAAGGTGATTACATTGATGTCGCTGAGAAGATCCATTTTGGTCTCCATTATGATCCCACTCAGAGTCAGGCACTGGGCACTGAGAACATTGGGTATCCACGCCCAAAAGACTTCCCATCACTTTATTACCGGATAGTCTTGAGCAATGTACCGTAAGTATACTCCTTCTAACATGATAAATGAATGTAAAGAGTCTAATATTCCGTCTAGCGACTATGTCGGTGGCCATTTAACAACATTCCTTCATGCAATGCCGCTCCTCGCCCGCCACTCTACTAGTCTTGTGGGCAGTGTGTGTCTGAGAAATCCCCCCTTTTTCCGTGACATGGGTGACTTTCTTGCTGAATATCAGCTTATAAGCAGCGAGAAGATGCTCGAACAATTGACCGGTGTGCGGATTGTTTTCAAGGGGAATGAGCCTGTGCCACTCGCCAGCTACACATACTACTGTTGGAATCAGCCAATTGAATCTGTACCGCTTTCAAAACAGGTAAAAGCCCGACTTTCTCGTGAGGATCTGAAGAGGTGGTTTCATGGACTTTTCTTTAGATTGGCAGTTCCTATGACGTCCGATCATCGTCTCATTTCAGACAATAATCATATGGTCTATTCGCCGCTCAATCTTACGATTCTTTTTCGTCAACTAGGTCACCTTCATTGTTTAGGATATCCTTCTCATTGGCTTTTAGAAGTCCTAGTCCCACTGCTCGAAGACGCCGGAATGCTCAAGACTAATGTTCGACCACCATGCAATGTCCCACTTCGACCCGATCAAGTGGATCTAAAGTATCCGATCAAGGAGCTTTGTATCATTCCCTTTGTGCCAGAATTGAAAACTCTTGCGACGCTCTTTGCCCCTCTTCTCCCATTCCGCATCGATTCAAATCTCGTCTATCCCATCGAAAAGATCCAGGAATACACCTTTGATCTCTCGCCATTACCGGTGGACTATTTCCAGCCAACATGCCTCGTTCTCCTTTTCTGGTCACCAACTGACTGTCCCAGCGGCCACTTCCCTCCTGAATTGTATCCCAGTCTGCGTCCGTTTCTTGATCCAAGCCGCCAATATGGCGTCGCTGATCACGGATCTGAAGACGCATTGCAGAAAATTGAGGATTGGAGAGCCAAGGATGTCATTGTGTGGTCGAATTTTAACTTTGATTATGAGAAGCAGGAAGCAAAGGCATGGATGCCGAAACAGATTATTGAGCAGATGGTGAATAGAAAATGGAAGTGTGGGCTTATGAGAAGAGACCTGTGGATGGTTGTTGGGGCTACGATTTTTTTGACCTCGAGACGCGTCAGAGACATGGTGAAGATGGGAAGAAAATGGGACGAAGTTTTCAAAGAGGACGACGAGACTGAGAAGGATGATGATGGTAGTAGTGATGCTGATAGCGATGATGATGATGCTTTCCAAGGAAGTGGCCCCAATACTATGGATCACCGGATATTCCAAGCAGCAATAGAGAGGATATTCAGCGACAGTAAGAAGCCGGGGGCCGCAAACAAGAATGTGATTGATGGTGACAGGGCGATGGACAAGAAGAATAAGAGTGAAGAGGATAATGGCGACAAAAAGGATGAAGACGGTGTATACGATGGAAGTGATGAGTATGATGAAGAGGACTCGTTGGATTAGAGTTTTTAGATGGAGAGTCGAGTATCAAAGACGGCATGGGATGAAAGCAACAGGTATTCTGTTAACGTTCAAACAGAAAAGCAGAAGTGTATCTACAAGAAATGAAGACCATACATACACCCAAATATGCAGGCAAATTCTCCACTTCAACTTGCTTGTTTGTAATATTTTACTGACAACTAGGTCCTGCTACAATTGCCAAAAGTTGGTGAAATTACAACTTTCAGACTTCATCCTCGCATCTAGATACTCAACTTCGAGTCCACCACTTGTATGCACCTCCCTTCTCGTACTCACCGAGCTCAGCAGCACTCGCTTCAAACTCTGCTTGGCACCTGACCGCTATCCTAAACGTCTTGTCCAAAGCCGCCGCATGCAATAATGTACCCAGCAACTGCAAAGTTGCAGTCTTTTCCAGTCTATCGATCGCAGTTGAGAAAGGTACGTCTCACTATTTCTTCGAAGCCCTTGCTTGGCAGGCTAACCGATCCCTGAGGAATGAAGAACAGTATCTTCAAGCATCTTCTATACACGAGTGGCAGTTCGTCGGCACTGGCATGTCGAGGAGATACGCCCGCCATAATCCCGATAGAAGAGAGACAAACTAATGGAATTTCTCGGAGATGAGATTGCTTCTAGTACTGCGTATATATCCACTTGCAAGCTTCGATAAGAGTCATTCAACTCACCATCGAAGAACCCAATGTAATTTGCTGCACCATCTCATCCACACTCTCTCCAAAGCCGTTCTCATGCGGCCAGAAAGGATGCAGCTCCGAAGCTAGATGCACATACCACAAAATGGTGAACTGGAAGGGGACTAAGCTGCTTTTATAGCGCGGACTTACATATTGTCTGACAGCACGAGTAATCTATCGAGACTCACTAACTCGACTCATTTCTGTTTGACTGCCGCAAAACACTCCACATCTCGATGAAGAGAAATCTACCATACCTACCTTAGCTCACCATGCTTATTTCTTCTTCCAAAGGTCCTATTCTGACCAATTGAGAAGCTCCACGACTTGTAGTATTCACTCCCTCACCCCGGTATCTAGTATCTACACTCCATATCGTTTATCTCTTCCCCTCCTTGAGTTATATAAATTTACCGTATAATTTATCTCATTACCAGCCGCGGCATCAATGCATTAACAGACCCCGCAGCTCCATAAAAGTCAACATTAATCCGACGCATAAAATCTCTTACACCAGTGTGGTGGAAAGAGATTTTCCTCCGAAGACTCCATCTGCATCTCATCTCAATATCGCGATCGCAAGTCTGATTTCTCAGCGAGGTCGCTCACTCGCATCATTACGTGTGACAGCAAACTCATGTTGCAGATCTGACAGCCCAAAAGGTGTCGAAATTGCTTCACGCACTGAGTGAGGCACTCTCTGGAAACTCCGGCGCTTCTCGGACACTTCTTATCAGAACCCGCAATTTGTGCACCCTCTACCTATTCCCATCCCATGTGTTATGTAACTCTCACAGCCTCACAGCCTCACAGACCAGTTTCCTCCCTACCCACTCCAGCCCAACTCAAACTCAAATCCAAAACCATCTCCGCGTGCATAAATGCCATACCACCTCCAAGAAACAAATGGTCGGGCCTTCCCCGCTTCCCATCACTCTCAAACTCCACCTGACAGCTCACCGGTCTGCATATCACGTGAAACGAAGCCAATTAAAACACATCCTCATCCTTTCACGATGCTCGTATCCAATCGTTTTCTTCTGCTCTTATCTTTAAAGGGGTGAGAAGCATTGAGTGAGCAAATTGATATGTGGAGATGTTGAAGAAATGTTCTCGTGAGTCCGTGCAGGAAAACATCTCCTTTGACAATCACGTGCTTGGGCCATTCCAAGGATCGCTACAGTAATATCGCTACTGTACGAAGGGTACAAAGTCAAATAGGATCCCCTACCCTACGCACTACTGAGACAATTTGAAGATCAGGGTATTTGGGTAAATTGCAATTTTGGAGCCCTAGATAACGTATCCAAGATTCCAAGTAATTATTAACTATTCAACTTCCCAGGGTTCACACTAATAATGCATAATGATAAGGTAGCAATGTTGATGGATGATGTTTGTTTTATTTATATTTCCTTGATTTGGTTGCATCCAGTTCAGCCCAGCTAATAGATATTTACACAGATATTTACACAGTAAATAAAACAAGTGAGGTGTTTTCGAAGAAACCGCTCGAAAATACTAACATATCCTATCTACATGAAGTACACAACCATCCACCATTGCTGCTTTCCTCTCGTGCACATACATGTACGATGCACGATATATGCATTGCAACCCCCATTCAACCCAAGCATCAAAATATCTCCTCGGCCCTTGCCATAGCATCTAAAAATATGAAGATGCCCTTGGAACTAGGAAGGTCCAACCTCCACTCAATAGTCTCCAGACCATTCAAAACGATAAATAAATATCTCACGACATGCATCAGTGACATCACTCCACAATCTTCCCAAAGAAAAAATCATTCAAGCCACCCAACTGCGTTTCTTGCTGGAGAATTAATTCGATTCCTCTCCGACTCTCCGAGGCCGAACCCAATCATAACGCTCCACGCTCTGTGGGGTGTTGAGAGCCCGGATAAAATGCAAGGATAATGATGGTCCACCATAGCAATATGACCGGTTTTTTTATCCTTTCTCTTGGCATGAACGATAGTAGGGACAGGAGGCTGTGTGCATGCGTTTTGGAGGATATACCATTTTTGAGATGTCCGTGTAATTTTGGACATTGTTTGAGTGGAGGATATTTCTGTATCTTTGGACTGTGAGGGGCCGAGTCGACGGTAGTAGCGATAGCAATAGTAAGATGAAGTGGTAAATCGAGGTCGTATTGAGTTTAGCTATGCTCGTCGTTGATACAGTCTTTTGGCGGGATAGATGTAATGGTGATGCGATGCGACGCGATACAGCCACACATCTAAAACGCTTCCGCGTTGTACAGTGTATACTTGCAATCATCTAACACATGTGTACAGTGATTCTTCACCCAAAGGTACTGGTAACGCAAGGTATGGTATCGTAAATAGTAGTACTGTATTGTAACCAATCGGTATCGGAGATAGGTATCAATCGTGCCCTCACACGTAACTCCATACTCCATATCCCCAAATCCCTTCCCATGGGCTTCTTTCCAAGAAGTATTCCCTGAACTCCATACCATCCGGAGGCGTCTATCTATACGTCCATCCAAGTCCCAATCCCGTACCTTCGTTGTTGTTGTTGTTGTTGTAATTGTTGTTGTTGAGTTGTGATTGTCGCACTGTACACGCTTGTTGAAACCCCTTCATCAATTCTCGCTTCACTTGTAACCGACCATTTTGGCACAACGATCACAATAGTACAGGTTGTGACCGAATCGTACCATCCCGTTGGCACTTGCATCATCTGTGCTGACTCTTCGTAGCTCGTTGCCTTGGTATTGCATCGTGCTGATGGTTTCGACAGTTTTGGCGCATCTTGAGCAGCGCATGACTTCTACTCTTGGTTCCATTGAATATGATGATTGAAAGGATGAGGACGACGAGGATGAGGATGAGGACGAGGAGTCGGATGAAGCTCTGGAGAATGTGAAGGATGACATTTTGTCTATGTGTATCGTATGGAGGGATGGTATCGCTGATGTGGATAAGTCTTGCAGCAATAAGATGTTGTATCTGTTGTATCTGGTTGATCGTTGGAAACAGATGGAGTTGTCGAGTATATGAAGAATCTCAATAGATCTCAACACAAGATATATTGCTTGAAGATGTACCCTCGTTCACCAAAATAGAAAAGGCGGCAGATCCTTGGCTTGGAATGCGGGTAGATGCAACGGTGGTAAGATGTATAAGAGATGTGAGTGCTGCGCAATGTTGTACGTGCTAGGTAGTGGTGGATATGGATCGTTTGGATAGGAGAGTATGGAAAAAGAAAAGGTTTCGTTAAACTTTCCAAAGAGGCTTCTCAGACTTTTACATTAATTCTTCACATTGACAATAGCATCGAGATGATTCTGTTAAATGAAAATGCCAATACCAATGCTAAGACCAATGAGGAGCCCTGCTCAAGTAGTCGAAATCAAGGCGGGGGGAACTCGTCTCAAGTTTTTCATAAATTTGCAACAGGGATGGAAGGTCTTTCAAGGAAAAGACCGATCGAAATATCAGTTTCCGATCTCGAGTCAACAGGCCCTCTCCAGGGTATGGAACCAGCTACCCTAAAAATGGGCTTGTGTGGTGTAGATCAAGGAACGGGGATATGAACAATCAATGTTGAAGGGCACGCTTGTTTAGTTTGACATGAAGAAAAAAATGTTCCAGCGGGAAAAGAAAAGAGAGGAAAAGAGAGGAAAAGATTGGAGTCTCCGAGTTTCTGAGTTTTCAATGTGAGATAGATGTGGTATAGTGGGGGGCAGCCCAGCGAAAATACTACGGGCTGTACTCCGCAGCAATCCAAATTCAAAATTAGTGTTCCAAGACTTGTTGTGGATTGATTAGCTAACAGGTGGAGTACGCGTAAACTTTGGTATGTCTTGAAACCAATGATACCCAATAATGATACGAATATTGTCCTTGGTTTCTGATAAGAGTAAACAGCTGATATGTGCTGCGTCAATTGCTATGGTCTGATACAACTCTGGAGAGAAATGGTCTATCGTCCCATGGTCATGTAGGCTGCAGCTCTCACGCGGGAATGACTCAAAATAATGCCATGAAGAATTCAAGTGACCTCTTGAAGTAACGTCTTGAGGTATTGTTGGTGGTATTGGCATCATGGTGATTATTCATCGCTACTACTGTAGTCTGTGGCTATACTTTGATTCGGATCTGGCCGACATAGACTAGGCAGTTGTAGTAATTAACTCGGCATCGTCGGTTGGTCGGTTCCTACTTCCTATGTCCGTACTTTCGTACAAGTGCATAGGTGCGAACAGCTAGAGTAGGTGTCTACGTGAATGGTTAGAGCACCTCCAGGGCGTATTCGGTTGCTCTGTTGATGAAGGGGCTAAATTATTGCTTGTACATGCCCTATAAGGTTAAGGAGTAGTTCTTGTGGCGATGTGCTGCGTAAAATCGATTTGTCCCTAGACGATCAAATGAAAATCATCCGTGAGTTGCGGGGGAGTGTTGGAGAATATTGAATATCAACAGATCTTCTACTCCTTCGAGTGAACCGTCTTGTCGGAAGGTGATGGGTTGATACCGTAGGCTCAGATAAAGTCGATCCCTAAACACCATCGTGGCATGTACCGGGAACCTTCACAAATCCCATGCTTTCCTTTACCCCTACGTAAATACAAGAGAGGCTTAATCAGACTATATTGCATGCTACGATGTAACTTGAAGCCATACGCATGCCCATTTGGTTCTTGTCAATTTTTCAAAGTTGCCGCCAGAAAAATATTCTACTCGGGGCAAGTCAGCTAACAACTCGCGGGTGACTGTGCGTGTCTCCTTTAAAAAATACTTACAGGGTTGCGATTTGTCTACGACGTACATCAGGTACGAAAGAACATCTCGTACTTTACCTATTAGACTTCCGAGCGCAATCAACCAGGCAACCCTTTTAAAGTTTTACTACGCCAGATTATTCTGGGAACGAGGCACATTGGGTTGGGTAGTGATAAGAAGCAATACTACACACACACAGATGCCGGTAGGGTTGAGGGAATAGCTAGACAATAATATCAGTCCCGAAAGGTTGTTTGATACCGGTAGATACATCAAACATATCCCCGAATTATCTCCTTTACTCTTTTCATATTTCAGTATAACCTTGAGGATTTCACATTGACGGCTGAATGAGGAGGGTATGTATTAGAATTTGAGATCCCTTTCCCATCTACTCGGCACTCAACCCTTTCATTGTTAAATCTCTCGTAAAAAGTCAAATTCTCCTGTCAAAATCATAGCGAAGGAGATGGCCGAAAGACATGTCCAGCAAAATAGACTCGTCAAGTGACTCAGAAGTTCGCTGCTAATCTCTTGGATTTAATCGTGTTTACAGAAGAAACCCACAATATATGTCCGCTTCGCACCAAAAGATCAACCGCGACTCTCATGCCCAAGGAGCTACAAGGCTTGTCTAATATCTATGGATCTCTATGAATCTTCAGAGCTTGTCCGACAACCGTGCGTCGTTGTAAGTGGAATGGTAAAAATACCCTCGAAATTATTTGGTGGTTTTACCATTAGGGCGATCGAGTATATTAGGAGGCATCGAGATAGAATTTCGAGGTAGAAGACAGAGTCTTCTATGCAATGAACAGATCTACCAAAGCTGTCGAAAACACTGGGGTTTCATATGATTGACAGTAGGGATCAATACATATCTACTCTATATGGAGTGAAAGATTGAAAGATTGAGAGCTGGTTCGGAGGACTACCACATGCTGTAGATCTACGATATCAGCCTTGAGAGCCTTGAGAACATGTGTACTTCTTGTCGAAACTTAGTTTAACGTTGCGAAGATGTGAAATGGACCTCCAGCGGGTAGCCCTTCCGCAAGTATAAGGTTTTATTAGAACTTCATCTTAGTCTCGAAAATAAGAAGAAAACATGTCGAAAAGAAATGCCGTAGTTCGTGTAGAGTACCTACCTAATGCGCTTCAACGTACAAGCTGACCAATCTGGAATCCCTCAATCACATGTTCCTCTCACCATCTCGGTTCATATCTGTTGAAAGCTTGGTGCTTCGTAAGTCCGCAGGTGCTGCCCTCCCCCAACTTCACTCCGACCCCGCAAACTCCGCAATGGCCGCAATGTCCAATGTCCATTGTCCACTCAGAATTGACTTTCTCATGTCAAACTGTGCTGGTATGCCTACAGCACCTGAGAGTCAAAACTTTATTCGATCGGACTCAAAATCGACAGAGTCACCGACACCGAGGGTTTGATCCGGAACTCAAAATTTGTTTGTCTTAATCCGTGCCAATCTGCACAGGTATCAAGAGATTTACGCGTTCCCCAGACGAGGCGGTGCAGTACTGGAGTACGTATTTGGCTTCCGTTTCTACCTTCGTAAATATGACTGCGTACATGTTCAAGGGTGGTAAGTCAATATATAATGCCGCGTGTTACTTGGGGGTGCTAAGATGACCAGATTCTAATCATGGCACGCTTGACCTGTGAGAAGTCTACGAGTTCATTACAGACACGCGATCTATTGTGCTCCTTTCGATATTTACTCTTGATGAGAATCGTGGCTGAAGACGGCTATTTCCCGTATCGTCTACTTGGGTATCTTCCGGATTGCTAAATGTTGACATGCGGAAAGAGCCTTGGGTTTGTTTTGCCGAAAAGGCAGTTGAGAACTCGCGTTTGGAAACAATCTCGATGCCCCTATCCTAGACATGGAAGAGTCTTGACTATTCAATGGACTAGTCTTACTTCTATGACCATTACTAAGTTATAGATTACTGCTTTGTGTATACAAATACATAGCAGTGATCTGTAGTGGCCTGGGCTTCGAGCCTGTGGTATATCCAAGTTTTCAGAACTGTTTGAGCTTCTTTATTAATTGCAGCCATAGCTTTCACCGTCTCATCCTTAATGACGGCTTCATCCAATTTCAAATCATTGTTCATCATTCTTCAACGGCGCTCGTCATAGCTTTGAGAGTTGGTAAAGATCAGGACTATCTGAGTCTATCTCCGTCTCAATTCCTCCCGGCTCCCGGCTATTGACTGTTGCTTTGACATTCAGTAGTTAGGTATGCATTTTAAAATCTTCCTCGGGAACCCTTTCATAGCGACCTCGACCTTGAAGTTTCTTCTAAAAGTGACCTTCATCTTCGATGGCTTTCTTTGCATTGAAGCTCGGTATCAGCTGCTCCACAAGTCAACCACTATCTCGGTATTGCCTCCGAAGTTTCAAAAATGCTTGATTGGGAATGGTTACATGCTATCAGAAAATTCAGAAGCTCTACTCCAGTCTCCATCATCATTTTCAGTCAGACGACGCAATGACTCAAAGGCTAAGAGTTCTGGACCATTTATGATGCCATTTTTGCATACATCAAAACATCAAAACATCAAAATATCGAAGCCTTGAATGCCAGAACCTCAATCCGATGTCAAAGTGACACTCGTCAGTTTAACCTGGTTGAATGCCTTCATACCAAACACTTTTCACGCTAAAAACGCACTTTCACATTGTTGAGCCATCAACCCCTTAGAATACTTTCGGCACGCATTCCCTAGATGTGTTGTTCCTGCACGAAATGATTACTTTTTTTTTTTGAAGCATTTTCCACGCATGAAAAAGACCATAGATTATCCACATTTTCTGCAGATTGGTGAACACCGATGCCCATTTCTCGAAAAGACTTATATTTCAACACTTTACAATATATCAACTTTCACTTTAAACATGAATACTATAGAGGGTATATTACATGTAAAGATTATAAATATATTTATTCGACTCTCGACTGAAAATATCGATTACTTGATTTGATATTGAATATTGAAACGCGTGTATATTTCCGTATACCCAATTTCTTGTCCTGCTGGAGCCTGTAGAAAATCTGGAAGTCAAGTGACTTGAATCTAGAACTTTCTTTTCCTTTGGAAATTATGGGGGACTGGGGATCTTTTCCCCCTGTTGATGTTTTGGGTCGCAACAAAACAAAAGGAGACACGATCTCATTGTCACAGAAACGACGATTCTCCTTTTACCAAAAATGTTTCCCTCGAATCGAAATTATTGTTCTAGAAGTCTAGATTTTGATTAACTCTCCACAATTCTCGTTCCGAGAAGAGAGACAATCTACAAACGATCGGGCCGGAAATTATGGGAAACATCTACGATGTATCTATCTGTCTTCTGCAATTCTCCGATACCGATGTGGAGAAGACACAGTTGCGATTATTTACAGAACCAAAAGTCTAGAAGTTTGTTCATGTAACTCCTGGAGGGTGCAGCAGAGGGCCCCGAGTGGGTTAAGATCGTCGAAATCTAGAACTTGCTCCTTTCTACTCGTATCGTTTGACGTATCAGAATTGTGATGATCTACGAACCATGATCGTCAGGTACATTGGAGGTCAGTTGTAAGGAGACACATACTCAGCAATGGAATTTGATGCTGCATTTTCGTGGTACTAGAGGTTTTCTCGCTTCTTGGTTTCCCTAACACTACTTAGTTCTTCTCCATCGTGTGCTTGAGTCTCAGATATACCCTGGATTGTATCCAAACCATACGCTGACAATGAACCCTTAGCTTCTTGGTAGTTCTCTCTCCCTCTTTCGTCTGGCCCTGCGGTTCGGATTCAATCTTGTTCATTGGCTTCTTTGAAATCTTTGTTGTTGCGCCCTCGTTTACTAGAAGCTTCCTCGCTCTGCTATTTCCAATATCATTGTCTATTGTTTTCCTGTTTCCTTGCAGACCTCGTTCCTTCTCTGGCTGGTTTGATATATGAGGCATTTTGTGTACAGTTCCTACACTTGCCTCATCATTAGAAGATTGTAGCATGGCCTTCTTATTCTCACGCACCCTAAGGAGACGACGCAATACGACGGCTTTCACCAATAGATTTCGATTGGAGGTATTGTGCTGTGTCCACAACTGATGATCCTGTCGTAGCATCGTCGCTCCGGTAGTGCGAATTACTGGAGGAGGTGGGGCCATAATTTTGACGGACCGATGCGGATCACCAGAAAGAATGGGAGAGATTGTATTCAGCTTGGAGATCGCAGGTGGAATGACAGTGCTCTTTAGAAGCTTGGGTGGTGGTGTTGCTTGTGTAGATGCATCTCATAATTTATTTATCTTCACAGGCAAATGGTGCAATTATGTCTTATTCAGTCGTAGGTAATTGCGGAATGAGGTGATGATAGACGCACGGATTGAATTCTGACAGGTGGTATGGGCTTCGCTTCTTTTGTAACCTTCTCCCCAACTGTCTTGCGCTTTCGTACATTCTGTGGAAGCTCTTGGTGGTTAATTTCGACCTTGAAAGATTTATCCTCTTGGTGTTTCTGATCATGCATCGATTTCTTAAGTACATGAGTTTATGAGTTTCAATCTTTCGGTGAGGTTGCTGCAGTACTCGAGAGATGAGATGTGACATACTACATCCATGTAGATGTTTGCATGGTAGATGTAATCTTACTATAGCTGGCATTCTTCCATTCGTTAATTTGTTTATCTCTCGAGGACATGCTTTGTTTGAGTTCTATAACCTGGGTTTAGTGAGTTACTAGATGATTGGAACAATGCTTCTTGAGTGCTGTGTCATCTCCAAACTATCCATGAACCTCTGTTTTCCGTATAGGACACTTTCCAATACCGCTCTGTTATGATACACGTGCTCTACACGGAGTACCTTGGTCACTTCTAAACATCTTAAGAAACTTTCTCTCATATCCTCTGAGTATTATAAGTTTTTTGCAATATCCCAAAGACTCCTCAGGACAATTCATGAGCTTTGCGTATTGTCAGGACGCTTTCCCTCTCTCACCTTCCTTTGAAGATGCGGCCAATACTAACTTATGAGGCTTCTCTTCTTCAGAATGAACGTCTTACTTTCCAGCAGCGACGATACAGAACACAGCAGCGACAGCAGTGATTTCATCCTCCACTTTTCCCCTCCAACAATTTTTAATAAATTCCTTTTGTTGTTCTACAGTTTTCATAGATTCTAATGGTATATTTTTGTGTACTATCATCATGGCTGGTGAGGGTAATCTGGAGGGATGGGTGCGCATTGGTGGTATCCATTCGGGTGATTGAAGAGTTGGCATTCGAAGTGGAGGCGGAAACGGAGATCAATGACAAAATTCTAAATTAATGGATAAAAGACAATGTGAATGCAAATGAGAGATCCTAGCAATCAAAATCAAATGTAAACAATCACTATATTCTGCTCAGAAAGCATCTGCAAATTTGTCACAAAGTGAGCTGATCTGTAATTTAGTCAGACAAGCACATACATAGTACAGTCTTGCAACCATCATATTCTGAAATCATCCAAAATTTCTATCCCTCCCACCAGATAGTAGCAGCAGCAACAACCGCAATAACGAATCCCGGGCCAGCATGTACAATACCCATTTTCGTGCTTCCATTTTTCGCAATGAACACTCCATCCGTTCCCGCGACGATAATCCCCGCCACCATCAAGATATACGCAACCGATACATAATGACCCATTCTTGCTAACAACAGTATAGAAGTTCCCGTCGCCAATTGTCGCGTGGCCATCAGTGTTATATAACTTCTGAGAATGGGTGTATCATTTTCTTTTGGCACTGTGATTCCAAATGTCTTGCTGAATGCGATGGGATTTAGTAGTGCTTGTATTCCTGTGATTACTGTGGAAATGCCAAAGATGATCGATATGGATTTGAAGAGAAGGAGAAGAGTTGAGGTTGCCATTTGAAATTGTCTCTGAAGTGGTTTGTGTGGCTGAAGGTTATATTCAGAGGATTGGAATGAGGAGGACCTGGTCTTTGTAGAAGGATGATGAGTGTTTGATATTGGTATTTACTTCGTACTAATAATATTTGAACTTTATTGTCTAGAGAGCAAAAAGAGCATTAAAGAGGATAGATAACGCTGAGTAATCAAACAGGACAAATTAAGTTCAATTGCTAGACAGCCAAGTGATAGGCTTAGACACCATTTAGACCTCTAAAATTACTGTCTACTGCTAGACGATCACACCACGGATTTAAAGATATATAATCAGATATCACGAATGTTAACAGAGCAATTGGGCCCGCTCACTCAGCTTTGCAAGTTTAATATTCTTGTTGAAAATCGCACCCATCAATGTTTGCATAGTATACACTCAGCGAAACCTGCCTATCCACTACCATCATTTCCTCCAATCTCGAGAATAGTTCTCAGCTAATCTGGACTATTTATTTCCCCTTTTCTTTTTCAAAAATACAGTCTTACTAGAAAATTTGAAAATTTACCACCCTATCTCCTTCCGACTCCATCCTCCGTATCACCTTCACCATCACAAACCTCGATAAAGCTTCCACAGCTGCCTAGAACACTCACGATTTAACTCGTTCTGCGTTTTCTCAGTCTGTAAAGTAAAAAAGCTTTTCTTATCTTCCAGACTCTCCATCAATTTGACTATCTGCGACATGAGCGCTGATGAATCAGCTCTGCATTGGAATTCGCCGCGAAATTCGTGTCCGTAGATATCAATTTTTGGTGGTCAAGTATTGAATCCCCTTTGAAATATTAGACACTAATACTGGCAATTTCTATGAACGTGGAATCTTTGGTCAGACCCTTTGCCCCTATCTGGAATCAATACTGTTGTCAAAAACTGTTTCTCTTTTAGTGAATTACTTATCGGGCTTGTTTATTGGATCTCACACATATTTGCATCTCAATCCTGAGATGAATGAATTCATGCAAGGGAGTGTATCTGCACTCATTTTCAAAAGGCTGGTGATAAGACGGAACTTTACCCAAAGCAGTGGATAGCAAATACTATTGCAATGATACCAGATAGAGGCTGCCAAAGAAAGAGATGAATTCATAGAAGCAGCATATATGAAGGTATTATTGCAGATGGGGAAGAGAGTATTGCCAGCGATAACCAGTGCATCTATGTTCTGTGTCAATCTGTCAATCGCTTTCTTAAACAGAAATATGCAGAAGAAGTCCGAAAATGGTCAGCATAACTGTGATTCTTATGGTCCATTCATTAGTATTACCATCAAGAAGTTCTATCAACTTGCTTTGTATATATAATCTCGGTTAGGATGTTGGTTGAAAGGACTAGTGAGAAAAGTCGAGCTCAGCACAACTAAGAACCTTAGGAAGTTTTATGTAGAGGAAGATATTAATCAAAATTAGGATTCTGAATGACATCAAGTAAATGTGCAATAGTACACACTTTTCCCTTCAATGATGCTTAATGTTTTGTTGAGTGTAGGTTAGCTCTTTCACAGCATTCAACAGTAATATGAGGAGGATAACTTGAGAAGGGATAGGGCGAGAATGATGAGATGGTGATCATCCTACCTATATATGTCCTTTATTTAAAGAGAGTCCATGAAAAAAGCGGTTATCTATAGACAAATAAAGAAGTGAGTCTTTTGATGCGAGATCACACCTTGAGACGCAATATATGAAATATGCCTAAGGAGGATGATATTACCAAAAACTTCAAGGAGGATACATTGGATAGCAGAAGACGCCAAAAGCGTTGATGCAATGAGACTTGGTACAGCAAATCCTCGAAAATTGAGATCATTCAAACTCAGCTGAGCTAAAGAATAGCTGGCCGAATGAGGCAAGCACAAACGACGATTTTGAGCAGTTTAGGTTTGGGAAGTCAGAAGAATATAGATCAGAATTTCAAAACTTTCATATTTAAGAAGCCTGTATTACGAATGTGATAGCTACATAATGTCACCCAAGAACAAAGAGGAAGAGAATCGATCAAAGCATTCTCGCTGTACCAGAAGTTCAGATCCAGGGGAGAACGAGGTTGGGCAAATAGTTAGATTGGTGGGCAAAAAACTTGCTACTCGAAGTTATCGGCAGAGTAAGGCCCTCCAGCCCGCTTAGGAGCTTCAAAGTCGGCAAATTCCTCAAGAGATTATATACCTCCAACTCACTAGCTTTGCATCGAGAGTGGAAGTCTGATGTCTTGATAGGAGTGCAAGTGGGCCGTCATAACTGCAGACAGTAGTTAGGTTAATCGCATTGACCAGACTCAATCTAGAATCTCAGATAGGGGAGCATTATTAGCCGATCTGTTAGAAGATAGATTCGAGAGCGATGCACAGAGAGGGGAACTCTGAGAAGCGAGAGAAATGTTCATGATGCACGGGATCTGAATTACTTTTCAGATGACAGTGTTTTCCATTTCCACAGTTTGTGCGTCCTATAATATCGTTTGATGTTTGAGATAGCTTAATGGTTCGAACATATAACGTTTGCGGAAAACGTGAAATAGATAGTTGCCATTAATTCACTCAGCTCCCATCAAATCGAGGCCTCGTTCACAACTCTTGGAGGTTGGCTTCTAGAATAGTAATAATAATATTAGTATTCTAGTATTAATGAAAGACTTAGTCACTTTAGCTTAAGGGATAAATTGAATATAATATGAGAGTTGAATTGAAGTCAAATTATAAGAAAGAGCTTAAATGAATCTGAATTTGCTTGCTTTTTCTAGGTTTTCTTTAAAGAATATCCTAGGTTTTCATAGTTTATAATGAAATTCTAGTAGTTTTTATACTTATAAATAAGATCGATTTGAATCGAATCTTATAGAATTATTTAAAGAAAGTATAACTAATTAATTTAGTCTGATTTAATAATAATCTTTCATATGATTTTATTATATTTTATTTCATTATAAACCAATTCGATAAGAGATATGATAGTATAATAATATAATAATATAATAATATAATTTTATAATATAAAATCATATTGTATATGTGTTAGTCATCAATATATCTCTTAATTAGTAAGATATTAATAAGTGATTTAGTATACTTATTATTATAGAATCTTACAATGAAAGCACTACACAAGGTACGTTCCACTGAATGTTTCATTGTCTTCAACGGCAATATATGGCAATATTTTCACACTCACTCTCTTCATTTTCCGACTGTGATACAGGATATATAGGACCATAAGTT